ACAAAAAGGATAAAACCTGCAATAATTCAAAAAGTAACATTCTTTCATGCTCTATCTTTCCAACTAAACTACAAAGTTTCCCGCAATTAAAAGTCAACACATCTCATTCGAGTCCAATATATTAAAAACACATTTGCAATGTATTGTGCAATAGTTAAAAGTACTTAATCATACATCTTTACATAAACAGAATATACGTATATAAAAGCATACTCAATGTCGCTGTATACAAAATATCAAATGCCTCAAACTAACAAAAGTGGACCGGAGCAGAACGAATGGGTTAATTACACTTTGTACGGACAGAGATGTGCTGAATTGCTCACATCGAAAGCAGCGGCTGCATATACAAGACAATCCTCCCGCGCGGTATTCGAAAAATATATGTGTAAGTGTATATTCAATTGAGGATTTAGCAATCACATTAGTGGCACTCGGTACATTGAAGCAAATTCCCTTCTGTTTTTGTTTCTAAAGCATTTTCACATCGAGATATTTTTAGATTTTAACCCCCTACTTCTGGCCAAGATGGAGCTTGCCCAGCAGGGCGTTGGCCTGCTGTCCGGCCGACTCCTGTGCCTGTCCGGCGGCCTCCTGTACGGTCTTCTCGACAGACTGGCGCTTCTGGTCGACGTACTGGTTGGCCTCCTGCAGCTTGTGGTCCACCGCCTGGCTGGTCTGCTTCAGGGCCCCGTCGATTGCGCCCTCCGCCTGCTTCAGCTTCTGGTCCGCCACCGTCTCGGCGGCCTTCACGCTCTTGTTGATGGCGTCGTTGGCCGCCTTCTTGGTCTGGTCCACCGCCGTGGCGGCCGCCCGCTGGGAGGCCTCGGCCACGTTGGCAGCCACCTGCTTAGAGTTCTGAGCGGCGGCCTGCGCCTGCGCCACCGTGTTGTCCACCGCCTGCCTGCCTTGGTTGACGGCTCCGGCGGCGCGGTTCACGCCCTGATCGATCGCCTGACCCGCCTTTTGGGCCTCCGCGGTGGCCAGAGCAGCGGCTTCCTTGGCTGCAAGAACGGTAGGGTTATTATCTGGGTAATTCTTGCGAAGAACTCCTAGAAATGGCCCCACAAATTTGAAATTTTAATCAAATCTGGGAATTTTTAACTAACACTAAAAGCTTAACTATTATCTAGCTGCTCAAACTTAAGGTTTACCTTGTTCGAAAGGGGTTTTTCTATCTATATTCTTATTTTATTTTATATTATTTCCAAGACCTTAGCTTGCCTCTTAGAATTTTTTTCCTCACTATAAAACCACTTTCAATATTTATTAATGAGTATTTTTGAAACTGCGTGCGTCACTGGGTCTCAAAAGGAATCCATTTATAATGTTCTGCTCTTCTGTTTAATGACCTAAAAACTTTTGCGTTTTAAATAAATTGGATACAGAAATGGAACACGTTTTGAAGAAATATTTATGAATACTGAACACAACATAATTAACAAAATACCCTATGCTGAAATGACCAATATAATAGTTACGTAAACTAAGAAAACGTTGCTATTTTACTATACAACTATTTTTAAGAGTTGCATAATTAAACGAATCTGTAAGCTTAACACACTGAATTATTTGTGTGTTTAAGATTTTTAAGAATGCTTAAGTGTAATAGATTTTCATAAGCTTATATAGGAAGAAGCTTATAAGAAGAAGAGGTATGCTAATGCTTAGGGTATTGCTTTCTATGCATTCTATTGATTACTATGCAAAATCTTAATGAATTTCCATGCTGAATCCTATTATTTACTCCGGAAAAGATCCCAGTAAGGACCTCCATCACTCTCGTACTCACCCGTGCTGGCGGCCAACTGCTCGGCCTCCCCCTTGGTCTGCTGCACCGACTGTCCCACCTTCTTGGCCTGCTCCTCCGCTAGCTTCTGGGCCTCGGTGGCCTTGTCGCTGGCGAGCTTCTCGGCCTCATCCTTCTTCTTGCTGAACAGGTTGGCGGTCTTGTCGCCGAAGTTCTTCAACGAGGCTGTGGATGAACAGGAAGATTAAAATGTATATTCTAAGCTTTCCTTTGCTAGGACTAGGTACTTTGGTTCTGGCGACTGGGAAACATGCTGACTGGCCTTCTGGATGCTAACTAAGCTCTGAGCTGGCGCTAATTATAATTTATAGCCTGATTTTAATCAGCTCGATTAGCTGAAGATCAGAAGCGAGATTTGAGATTCCAAATTCCAGACAGGTAATTGCCGAAACATAAACAAAGCAGCTGGAGCATGAACTATTTACATGACTTAAATCGAATCGATTAGGCAAGGGACAGTTTTTTTATAGAAACTGCGCAACTAGGGGCTGCTAAAATCGTGATCGCCAGCCCCATGTCGTCAGCTTTAAGTTTTAAGGCACACCAGCCACTCGGAATATTATTCGCAATTTAATAGAAATTAACGAGCGGCGGTTTTTTGCTGTCCCCCAGAATATGCATTCACTTGGAGTGACGTGTTCGGTCACTCAAAAATAAACATTGCGAATCGGTTTTAGAATAGAAACGGAAACTGTCGGAACTACCCGAGGAATTCCGTTCTCTTTGTGTAGGAAAGTAGGGTATATGTGGGTACTTATAAATATATGCATATGAGGCAAACAAAGCGCAAATTCGTAAATTATTCGGCGTATGTGATGTCATAATCGGGGAACCGCCAAATGAAATCGCCTCAGTTTTAGGGGCCTTTCTTCACGCTTTCTGATTGCGATCGGGAATGTGTTTATTCTAATTCCGCTCTCTCGGCAGAGATACTTTAATGGCCTCTCCACTCGGCTCATTTCCAAATAATTTAGTTTCGGCCAATTTCATTCCTCACTTTAATGATCCACAGGCTGGAAATTGTGCGAAAATAATAGTTTCTATTTAAGATTAAGGAATGTTTCGGATCGGTTGAGGTGTTAAAATAACTTGGAATGCCTAGGAATTTCCATAATCTAATAAGTATAGAATGTATGTGGCAATGAACTTGCTTCATAGGTTGGGGATCGTGCATTCTACATTGTACAAATTCAACTATTTGTAGCATGCATTGCTTAATACATATATTTACTGAGTGCTGTTTTCCGAAATTAAAATCGTATTATAATGTACCTAAAACACACACAAATAACGTGTTGAAATTACGAAATTAAAATCAAATTAAAAGTAACTAAAAAGGTGGCCAAGTGAATAAGGCAATCACCATGTTGAATTGGGTTTATATATAATATTTAGTATTTAGTATTCCTATCCTAAGCCCCCGGCAGATTTATGAAATACAGTTTTTATGGCTTACTCTCGTGGAATTCCTAAGGCATTTGCGTAGTACGACGCATTTTGTTCTTAACCCTCTTTATTCGAGACTGTGGCAGCTTGTGGTCAGAACTAAAAAACCGGCTAGAAGCATGGCCAGAAGGTAACACAATAAGCCCAAAGCCCAGACTCTCACAGCCTCTGATTCGCAGTCGTTTCTGTTTTTATATCTGTTTTTGTTTTTGTCGATGTCGTATTCGTATTTGTAGCGCAGTTAAGGCGCAGAAGCCTCGGAATAGAGAAAAACCTGTAGGTTGGGTACATGAGAACCCAGTTCGGCCGCCAGAGAATCGCTAAAAATGAATATCTATGAGTAACTGCGATTTGAGGTCTGCCGACTCGCGTTCCACACCAGTTCTGGGATGCCTAAAAAGAGCTACGACTACAATCCATGATGAATCGATGGGGCTACTGCGCTGTTGTTGCCGTTGTTGTTGATGATGTCATGTGGGATACAAATGCTCCATCGAGATACGATATACAGAAGTATTCGCACACTGAGGCAGCGCGTGGCAGAAAGTGGTGGCATGGCACTCACACGCCCCTTCAATTGTTTTGGCCCCCGGCACAGTCGTCATCCGGGCGAAGGTCAACTGAGTCAGCTGGCAACGGGCCAAGAGGCAGCCAAAAGGATTCGTGTCCTGGCCCAGGGACAAGCCAATAGCTGATGTCATGGCCCCGCCAGGTAAATCAATAATCGGAAAGAGCAAGGGCAGGTCAGACACCAGGCCCCTCGGGCGGGTTATGCTAATGACTATGAAGTCACTGGATCTGATCGAATCGCAGACCTTACCTAGCAGCTTTTTGGCTGGAAGGGGACTTATCTGCAACTCCTTAAAGAGCAATTGGCACTTACAAACTTGCAGGTACACATTAAAATTGGTATTTTTAAAAGCAATAGTCATATAAGGCCTTAAAACGGTACTAAGTAAATTCAAAAAATAAATGGGCTAGGCCTAGGAATAATTTAAAGGTTTCATATAACTGGAGTGTTTATAATTCTTACACTTTCATAAGGATATTTAGACTTCTTTAAAGAGGTCATATAGACTGGAAAAACCAAAACCGATTTCAAACTGTATACAATGGTCTGACCTTGAAGTCTACATAAAATCCAAGAAATAGTTAAGTTTAAGTAAAAGATATCTTTCAAATATAGAAAGAAAATGGCAGGGTTATATATCTTTTTTAAAAATAATGTTCTCTATGCTTATTACATAACACAAGATTGCTAGTTTAGTACATTACGAAGGTCAAAAGGTATACAATGGTCAGTTTCCCAAGACTTGATAAATTGGTGTAATTTTTAGGGTAATAATGTCTACTAATATAAAAGTGTTTCAATTATATTTCTAGAATGTTACTACATTCCTAACAAGTTATATCAAAGGTACTTAGAGGGTTAAATTCACATGAAATCCCCGCCCCCCGTGACTTTCTCCGCCTTGTTGTGGTCTTCAAGTGTAGCTAATAGTCAATTAAACTGAATGACCCTAAACCTGACCCACTTGCGGGTGAACAAATTAGCCCGCGACATTGGCGCAGGCATTCCGGAGGCCTGAACTTGTAATTGAATTAGCCGGACGTTAGGGATGCCGCACTAGATGGCCCGCCTGCGAGGGGTTCCGAATCGATTGGAGCCACTGCCTGGAGCGGAGGATATAAGTACAGGAGGCGATTCGAACCCGGCCACTGTGCACCGGCGGAAGCGAGCGAAATGAAGCATCTACTGACCGCACTCGTGGCCCTGCTGAGCATCCTGCCGCGCGGCGAGGTCCTGGGAGGAGGAACGGCCTGTCCGCGTCGCTATCTGCGCAGGATCAACGGCAAGTGCTACTACTTCTCGGTGAAAAAGGTGAGGGGGCGGGGTTGGGATAGGTCATCTATTAGTGGGGATAGATCATCTATCACAAGTGATCATCATGATAATGATCTATTACATCCCTAGATGAACTGGTTTGGCGCCCTGAACAACTGCCTGCGCAAGGGACTCACCCTGGCGGATTTAAGCAACCAAAGGGACTTCGACGGAGCCGTGGGGTTCCTGAGCGGATTGGGTAACACGGAGGACTTCTGGTTCGGAGGCAACGACCTCTACCACGAGGGTCGCTTCCAGTACATCAGCAATGGACGGCTGGTGCGCTACTACAGCAACTTCAGCAACGTGCTGCCCATGGAGCACTCCGAGTGCGACGACTGCCTCGAGGTGCGCATCCGCTCCCAGATCACCATGGTGTCGGCGGACAACTGCCAGGAGCGGCAGTACTTCATCTGCTCGGAGCGCTACTGCCAGGATGCGGACGGGGGCAAGAAGCCGAAGCACCACAGCCACGAGCATCTGCATCACTTCCACCACGACATCGGCGAGAGTGCCGACGGCGAGGTGGAGGAGGAGAACCACGAGCGCCAGTCGCCCATCGAGAGTGGCTCCACCGAGAGGGACGAACCGGACTCGGAGGCTGCCGCTGGAGCGGTGGATGTGCCGGATGTGCTTGAGGCCGAATCGGAAACACCTGGTCCGGAAGGAGCAACGACCGTGGGAGCAGCAGGTGGATCGGGAGCAACTGCCGCCGCCGGTGGGTCAGAAACCACCGCCGCAGGAGTCACTGCTGCAGGAGCAGGAGGCCAAGGAGCAACCACTGCAGCAGCAGGAGCAGCTGTCGTCGAAGGAGCCACTCCCGCCGCAGGAGGAGAAACCACCGCAGCTGCAGCCGCCGCCGAAACTCCCGCACCTCCTGCTGCCTGAGCTGCAGAATATTGTCCAGCCGAATCCCGCATTTCTTTTCGATTACAAATAAACGACAGCAAATAATAGCAACCGAGTTTTGAAAACATTCCATATTTATACCCTTCAAATACTTCAATGAAATTAAAAGATTTAACAATTTATGCCAAACTAGCCATATCTTATGAACATATGACTCTAGCTTGCATATCAACTGGTATTTTTAAGGTAAGGCATGGCAACCTATAGCATAACTGCATTCAAGATCTTAACATATTGTTGAGTTCTACACCTTTTTCCTATATGTGAAGTCCTATGCATTTGCATAAATCAGCTGATCGTTTCTTCACCTGCTAAACGTTTGTGTTCGCCTGGTGTCTGAAATTAAGAAATCTACCTATTTGACAGTTTTCTCTAGGAAAAAAAAAGGTATTTTGGATTTTTAATTTCTATTGACTTTTTAATTTGATTGTAGGGATGGTTTTTGATTAAATTTCGATTTCAAGTACCAGGCGAACAGAAAGCGATGGGAACGGTTTTCCAAACATGTTAATTTAATTTAGTTCAGAAACTACACATTATTTTAAAGATCGAATCACAACCACTTAAAGATAACCACCTTTAAAAGAAGTTGGAGGAAAGGCAAAAAGGTCACCAAACAAGATATTCTATAAGTCAAAAGTAAATCTGAAAGCAATAGGGGTTCAAAGCAATTAATCAACCAATTTAATCTTAATTCAGAAATCAAGTTCTTCATCCGAGATGGACGTCTGGCGACTACCAGCATAATTTTGATACTGCTGGAGAGTAGACAATTACCAACAGAAACACCAGCCTTTGATCACCACCATCCCCAATGAAAATTAATCAATTCGATCGACCTTATCAGTCAAAGAGAATGCATTCCGAAACCAATGTGTTTGCTGAGGGGAAATTGGTCACTCTTCGATAATACAGATGTCACGCCCTCGAAAGGGTATATATAGAACAGGGGGCCCCACGCATGTGTACAGTTTGGCTGGACAGGTGCCTCCGTTTTGCTGGCAGCCATGAGGATCCTACCAATTGTGCTACTGACCTTGATAGCAGTCCATTCTGGCTGCGGAAAAAAGCAGAGCAAGAAAGCCAAGGACAAAGGCCCCTGCGGCAAGCCATTTCTCAAGGAGCTAAACGGGAAGTGCTACTACGTGGCCCACAAAAAGGTAAGAATAAGGGGAATAAAGGAATGTGGTTTGGGAAATAGTTGATTGAGTTAAAGAAGATATTCTAAAAACATATATATATTAACATTGAAGTTTTTTCTTGAATGAGGTATCATACCCTCAAGATATCACTCCTCAAAGATACTTTAAGAACTAATATCTAAATCAATATAAAAGTTTCTTTACGATATGGTGTATACCCCTATAGGGACTTCTTTCTTGAATGAACCAAATTGGAGTTATATCAAGACATTTAAAATATTTTAATCAAAACTCAAACTTGATCTTGAATGATACTCGTGTTCCATCATTAATCAAGATTCCCTCGTGGATAAGTTAGAAGAGGTTTTCCTATCAAGACATATTAAGATATTTACAAATTAGATATCTTAATCAAGAGTAGTTTATTTATGATAAAAGTGTGGATAATCTCTTGGCAGCTCAACTGGTTCGGGGCCCAGAACAACTGCCTGCGCAAGGGCCTCAACCTGGCGGACGTGGCCACGCGGGAGGACTTCGAGGCGGTGGTGCACTACGTGACGGTGCAGGTGGGCATGGACGACTACTGGTTCGGCGGCAACGATTTGCAGACGGAGGGTCGCTTCCAGTACATCAGCAGTGGGAAGCTGGTGCGCTACATGGGCGAGCACGGCATGGTGGAGCCGACACACCGCTCCAACATGGACGACTGCCTGGAGATCAGAATCCGGCCCAATCGCACCGTCGTCCTGGACGTGAACTGTCAGGAGAAGAAGTTCTTCGTCTGCGAGCAGAACCAGGGCAAGTGCGCCGTTCCCACGGCGGACAGTAGCGATGCCAATGGCCAGCACCACAGCCACGAGCATCTGCATCACTTCCACCACGACGCGGGCAAGGATAAGCCGGAGAAGGATAAGCCGGAGGCGGGGAAAAAGGCACACAGTGTGGAAAGCGACTCGCGGCCAGCTGATAATTCGAATTCAACGGAGATCGGGGTCTCGAAGGAGACGGAGGCGGAGGGCACGACGGCTGGAGGTGAGGGTGAGACGACTCCGGAGGGCGGAAAGGATGGGGCAACCACTGGTGGCGAAGGCGGAACGACGCCAGCGGAGGGAGCGGGGGCTGGAGAGTCCACGGCTGCGCCAGATGCAGCCGCCACTACGGCGGCAGGAGTCACTGAAGCGAGCGCTGCTCCAGGAGCAGAGGCCACCACCGTTGCAGCAGCAGCTCCCGAGGGGGGGGCAGCCCCGGAAACAACTCCAGCTCCGGCGGCCTGAACGCACTAACTTAACCACCAGGCGGACCAATAGACATCTAGGGAATCGAAGAATGTTTGAGCTTTCACCAAATAAATTTGAATTTTAACAACATGATGATCAAACGGCTTTGAATCCACCACAATAGAACATCGCCTTGAAACCAGTCCAAGAAATCTAATTTTATAACCCCTAAGGTAGGGAAAAACATGGTCGAATATCTAAAACAATGAGAGCATGTTGATATCCACTGGAAATATTATTTGGGTTCATAGAAATGATCTTCCCTTTAAAAAAGTACCCTGTAGATTTCCCTAGAATTGAAAAGATTTAAGAATTTAAAAGATAAGTTGGATGTAAAATCTCTTCTCAAGAATCAAAAGATTTGATTTTCATCGAATAGATCATAGGCCTATACACATTGGTTTCCGCATAATTTATAAAAGAAATGTTTTGTCTAGCGCGAATCGCTGATAATCCCACGGCATTCTGTACAAGATCAATGTGTTTAAAAAAGAAAAAAATGCAGCTACTAAAAATGGAACTACGCAGTCGGTGAGGAATGTCTAGAACTGAATAGCATTATCAACTAAGCTAATTTCGTGGAGAGTTCACCACTTGGGGTTACTTACATTTCGATGCATCTGTTTTGGCATTGAGTGGGAACAGATAATATTAATAAGTATATATAGAGTTTACATATAATCTGTGTATAATTGAAAAATAGATGCCTATCTCAAGTGCCAATGCTTGACCATACGGTTTTCAAGTGGAATCTAATGCTGAAGAATTTCAGATATCGGAAGCAGAGATGGACGATGGAACTCGGATTCTTTGCACCCACTTCAAAGAGTATGAGTGTTCCATTTCGTCTCAAGGAAACACCATAGAGCATAGCCCCTTGAAGACACGCGGTACACATACACGTTCCTAGATACGTATAGTGTGTATCTCTCTAGGCAGCTATAATTATATATACGTATCATCGTTTTGGGTGTGGGATGTGCCCGCGAGAACAGCAACTTGTAGTCCATCTGAAGCTACATATAACTGCGCCATAATTGGCTTACGTATCATCCACATCGTCGTCATCATCATCAGAGCCAAGCCAGCGGAGCCACGGTAGCAGACAATTAAGTTTTTGTTATTGCGACCCGTATCGGATCGAACACGCCCGGTTGGCCAACCCCACCCAAGCCCATGTCCGAATCCCGGGTGGCCAGCTGCTCCGACTCCCCGACTCCTTGGTCCTCTGACGATGATGTAACTAGTGTTTACTGCCATCCCATCCTTCCTTCCAATGCTGTCATATGCTAACCACGATTAATGCACCACTGTATATATGTACCTTTTATACTTCCATATATCGGATACATACGTACGCTTAGATCTAAGATTTCTAATTTCGAAACTTTCACATCAACGTCGGGTGGTTTCTTTACCTGAAATCGAGCTGAACATTTTGAAACTTTTGCTTTTTCTCGGTCGTTAGAGTCGAAGAACTGATTTTCGGATTCTGTATTTGATCGGATGAGAATTCGAATTTGTTTTTTCAAATTTTTTTATGGCCAGCGAGTTTGGTATTTTTGGAGGAGCGCGTTTATTTTTAAACGTCCGACTGCGTCGAGAGCACAGAAACGTATAAAGTCGAAGCGAAAGTAGCCGCTGAGACCTGAACTCACAGAACCCACGTTGTTGTTCTGCCTTCGGGTGGAACCCGTTTGGCAAGTGGTGCCATATCGACCCAAAATGGTTGGAAACCTAGGAAAACCGTTGATATACGGGGAAACCTCTTTGGTCGGAATTGGGGTGGAATTAGTATTGAACTTCCCCTGAAGATATTTCTCTGTCTCCCACGCTAAATATGAAGTTATATAAATTGAATAATAGATATACGTTCATTAATTGGAAACTATTTCTAAAATGTTTACCTCAAAATTGACTAATAAATGATTTTGTATTGACATAGTTATATGCAGACTTTAGCCTGGTATATTAAAGTCTAAATCAGCATAAACCAAATGAAAATCGTAGGAACTTAAAATAATGAAATTACTGGCCACTTTAATATAATTGATTGTACCATGGTTTAATATGATTATAAGCTCTCCAGTAGAATTACCTTCATTCCAAATCCGTTCAGTACATTTTTATATAGCCAACTTAAAGCAATGACTCTGGTATTGCGCATTCTCTACTGTCTTCCAATATTGCTGCTACCCTTGCATGTAGAAGAAGTTAATGCGAAGGGAATGTGTCTCTATTTAAGCGAGGCAATAGTAAGTGATTTTAAGACTATATAACTCGTTTAATGCTAAATGGTCGCTTTGCAACAGGCGACTTGGTTTAATGCCCTGATTGCCTGCCAAAAGCAATTCATGTGTTTGGCTGATTTGGACACCGAAGTCACCCTGATTCAGATGGAAGCCAAAGTGCCACACAATGACCACGGCTACTGGTTCGGCTTGAATGCACATGAGAAAACCGGCTACAGATACGCCTCTAACAACAGGTCCATAGAGTATTCCCCAGTCAGTTCTAATCTGTTAAACGATGGGGGATGCGCCTATGTGAAACACGATGATGGATTTTACAAATTTCTATCCGCCAGCTGCGACGCGAAGAAAAGATTCATCTGCACCATGGCCGAAGAATGCGACGGTGTGAGCATGAGACCCAAAAAGCCGCTATGCGTCATAAGCCATGAGGAGAAGGAGATTGTGGCCTATTAATTTGCTACAATAATAAATAATAAAGTGTCTTGGGGCAAGGCATAGATAATTATTTCAGTAATAATTGTATGACTTCAAATTCGTTAAGTTCTGGAAACTTGACATTCCTGAGATTCGATTCCAAGGGCTACCAAATCCTACCTAGTCTCTGGAAGCTTTTCTCTTTGCTGCCGATTTAAGTTGAGATAGATGTGCCCGACATTTAGTTTTGAAGGCCTGAACCAGTCGTCCTCCAGGTGAAATGGCAATTAAAACATGAATCTGAAAGCAAAGTAACAAAAATGTACACATAATTGCTTTAAAGTTTTGGTTGTTCAATCACCTCCAGATATTCAATCTCCTTTTCGTATTCCAAAGATTCTTCCAAAAGTCCCAAAGTGGTTTGAAACTTTTCCGTGCCTAGGATGTAAGTCATTTCACCAATGTTTTGCTTGTACCACTTGGCGTAGTTGTCCAGATTTTTTTGAACATCCATGGTTGATGCAGAGGCAGCCCTTGCAGTAAGCAGCAAATGAAGTAGTGATTTCAGACTGCCATTAGAAGCGGTTTGCAAAAGTCTGTTTTTCAAATACTCTGCAAGTATAAGGGATATACAATGTATTTGATAAATGGAGTAGTCTGAAGGAATTAAATTGATTCCTACTTTTAATATATGTAGTAGTTTCTGGACTGGCAGCACTAGCGATGGACTGCACTAATATGAGGAAGAACTTCCATTGCCTAAAGGATTCCGAGTTGGACTGCTTGAAAAGGTACTGAAGGACTTCCTGGTGATGGCCAACAAACAGCTGTAAGTAAGGGTCAGTTCAGGAAAGGTGTAAGACCCTTTTATAGGAAATATAACCTTATCGCAGAGGTGTTTCACAAATGTAAGTTCATCTACGCCCTCGTTGATCCAGGTGCTGAAGCTGGCGAATGCTTCCTTGATATTCTCGGCTCGGTGAAGTTCCAGCAGGGTGTTCAAATGCATGTTAATGCAAACACTTAAGGCATTATCTAAAGAATGGGTGATACTATTATTTTAGAACCCTCGTGGTGATAATACCCACTTGGTATGGCTTTGCATAAAGGCTCCACGTAGCCCAAGTTGCTTATTTTGGGATTGCTAACGAGGCCGGAGTACAGATGGGTCAAAGCTGAAGTAACGATAGAAGTTAACCTCAGTGAAGACTCGGAATCTGAAGGTATAGTCAGTTAAAAATATAGAAGCCATTAGCATTGCAGGAAAACTAACCATAAGCTGCGGCAAGGAAAATATTGGCAAGGAGCTCAAACTCGGAGTTCAGGAATATGATCATGTCCACCTGCAGCTCGTCGGAGTTCTCCTTGCTGTGAATGGACGTACTGATGAGTGGGCTTCAACTAGTAACTCCTAACTTACCTAAGGATGTACTGCGTGGCAGTCAGGATGCGGAGTTCCTGGAGCTGAAGGAGCACCCTGAAGCTGCCGACATTCGCCTGCAACTGGCAAAAGAACCTGGCGGCCAGGAACTGAAAACATGTGAAGTGTAACTAGATATCTTTTTAAGATTTTTAACAAGCCGCTCACCCTTTCCTTGCCATTCAGAATCTTCAGTAGCTCGCGAAATTCGTCCTTTTCGTAGGATGCGATTTGTTGAATCCCACATTGCTTTTGTATGGTCTGCGGTGGAATATCTTTGGGTAATTACATTATTCATTATTTAAGTAAATAACTTACCCTGCAAATAAATCCAAAGCTGTTCCCGATATTGGAATAACGAAAAGAATCCTGGAGCACATCCATTTTGCGGTTTAATTTAATTTAATTTAATTTAATAAATTCATTCAAAACAACACTTTGTTTTGTTTATACCGCGTGAAATGTGACCAACGCATTATCCGCTTAAGATACCATATACAGAGGAAATCGATTGTTATCTATCGATTTCATGGCGGTTTTAATGTTTTAATGTTCAAACTTTAAATGTTTTAAATCTAAATTATGTTGTTTATTTATTAGAGTTCCTTGATTGGATACTTCTATTCTTTGCTTTTATATAATTATATTTTAGCCTATTGATTCTCCAATATTCCAAAGTATTCTTTAAATTGTTTTTTTTTTGAGGTCTTATAAATTTAAGTATGAGCTAGCATAGTGCATGGTCCCATCTTCGAACACATCCTATCTATTTGACACAGTAATCCTTCCGCTGCTGTCGTATAACTGCATTAAGTTTTAGGCACTGCTGTCTGAGGCCATCGTTATCCCCCTTCAGGATCTCAATGGTCTCCTCCTGCCGCTGGATGGTCTGGTGGACCCGCTTTTGAAGCTGCTCCATCTCCTGCTTGTGCCGCTCGCTGAGCACTCCCAATTCGTTCTGGATGTCCGCGTTGAGGTTCTCCCGCAGCCTGTCCCGCTCCATAATGATGTCGCCGCACATCTTTTTGCTGTGACTGAGCTCCAGTTGCAGCTGCTTCACCTCCGCCTGGCTATTCCGCACCTGGGCATCCGCCTCCGCTAGTTTGCCACGGGTCTCCGCGTACTTCTCCCGCAGCGACTTCTCCACGCTCTCGGCCAGAACCAGGTCCTTCTCGTACTTCTCCCTAAGGCGACTAAAAAGGGGATTTTTTATAAAAGTGGAGGACATACAGGATCTACTCACTTAATCTTCAGCTCGTGATCCTCGCTTTGCTGCAGTGCATCGGCTTCCATGCGCACGACCAGCTCGTCCAGCTGGCGATCCCTCTCCGCCCGATAGTGCTGCCTGATGGCGTTCTCCTTCTCCGCCTGGGCCAACTTGGTCTTGTTCTCGTGCTCCGTCTTCCATAGCTCGAAGTCCGCCTGGTACTGCTGCTCGATGGTGTTGATGCGGTTCTGGTACTTCTCCTCCTGCTTGGCCATCCTCTCCTGCATCTCGAACTTGGCCTGCTCGAGTTCCTGCTCCTGTTCCCTTAATGCATCCTGTCTCCTGGCCTGGTGATCGTTCTCCCGCTGCCGGATTTCCATCTGGAGACGCTCCTTCTCAGCAGCGAACTCCTCTGTGAGTTTCTGGCGCTGCTCCGCCTGCGTCCTTTGCTCCTCCTCCAGCTGCCGCTCGAATCGTTCCCGGATGGCAGTGCGCTCCTTCTCGATGATGGCCTCCCGATCCTGGGCACAGCTCTCGCGAATTCCCGCCTCGATCTGCTCGTGCTTTGTGCGCGCCTCCTCCAGAGCGTCGAGCAACTGCATCTGATGGGTGCGCTTCAGTTCGGTCACCTCCCGTTGGTGATTGCAGTTCATCTTGTTGATCTCCGCCTCCAGGCCTTTAACCGTGAGTTCCTTTAAGGGGAAATCTGTCATGGAAATAATGGAATCCCTTACAAACCCTTACCTTTATCTTCTTGGTATTCTCGCGCACCCAACGCTCTCGCCGAATCTTTTCACCCGCCATGGTGGTCTCCTTGGTCCTGGCCAGTTCCGTTTCCAGACGGTGCTCCCAGGACTGGTTTTGGCTCTCCAGACGGCGGGTGAGGGCCGCCACCTTCTCGCAGAGGGATCCCTTGTCCTTGAGCAGCTGCTCGATGAAGCCCTGATGCCGGGTCACCACCTCCTCGTAGTGCTTCTTCTGATCCCGCAGCTTGGCCGCAGCCGTAGACTTTTCGGCGCGCAGGCTCTTCTGTTTCTCGCCCCGCAGCTGGAAGACGTGCTCCTTGGACATGTGGATAGCATTGGCCAACTCATTGGCCCGAAGGCTCAGGGCAATTACCCTTCTGGCCAACTGATGGTTGGGCAGCATCAGCAGCTCAGATAATCTGTATTAAAGCGGAATATTAGTTGGAAATCTCAAGAGGGTCTAGGATTCTTAACCCACTTGGGCACCTCATCGGTGACATCGGGTTCCACCACGAACTCCACCTCTGATCGATTGCTATCCGGCATAGAGCGACGTGTCTCCATCAGCGTCTTGTCGCAACTGCTCTCCACATTGTTAAGATAGGCCAAGATGTCCCTGTTGAGAAGGATTTATAGTGAAAAATTATGAACGCTAAATAAACAAGATTAAATGATGCCATTTAAAGAACTCCTTTTCTCACTAGTTCGATGAGATGAAACGATTTTAAAAAAGATATGAATGGTGTCTTATAAGACGATAACAGTCTCGAATTTGAGAAGTTATGATTTGCTTTATTGTTTGACGGTTTTCTGAGTAGGCCTTACTTGTACTTATCTCCACTTTCCGGAACTGCTCCTTCACTAAGGGTAACAGTTTCGGCGGTCTCGCAACGAGAATCCAGTTTCAGGTTCAGTTCGCTGGGAATACGCTCAGAGAAGTTATCTGTTAAGTAAATAAAGGTTATTAGTGATATCCTAAGCCCCGTAACCCAAAACCCACCCCTCTTCTTATCCTCTTCGATTTCCTTGATGACGGACACTATCTCGTCGTAGGTGGAGTCCCTAGAGTCCTCATTCGACTTTAGAGACATCTGAGAAGCAGTATCGTTGTCCTGACCCTCGTCCAGATCCTCCAGTCCCGGCTTGTGCTTGTGATCGAACTGCTTCTGATCCTGAATGCTCATCCAGCTGTCCACCTTGTCGAGATTGTACTCGGAGAGCTTTCGTTCCTCCCGCAGGTTGCCCACACTGATGGCCTTCTTGAGTTTTCCCAATGGAGCAGGATTGGCTGCCATCTTGTTCACCTTGGGCTTATTGCTCCTGGCAATGGGATCCGCACTGGCGGGTTTCACGTTCTCCTTCTTCTTGCCCACAAATGGAGGAGTCGAGGCCACCTTGAGGTAGTTGTTAATCACGGATTCGGAACTGCCACTCCCAAGTGATCTTCTATCGTCTTGCAAGGATGGTAAGAAATTGTTTTCGGCCCCAAAGTTCCTGGGGTTGGAAGCTGATCTGTAGGAGATGGCACAATTGGCAGAGGAACTAGTAGTGGCCCCGTTCTTGGTCTCGGACAGATTGTTCTGCTTCTCCTTAGAGGGAGAGCCGAACTTATCCAAATAGTTGGGCAGTAGCTCTATGTTGTTGAGGGTTTCGGTTCCCAAGTGGTTCTTTACCGCCTGTTTGTATTCTCTTATGACATTTAGCTCTGGAGTAGGAGCCTTGGGAAGAGTGGGCACCAGATCTGTGGGTTTGGGTTCTATTTGTTGGGAGGCCTCCACGAACCGACAGCTGGGCGCATCACAGGCACACTTGACCTCCGCTGCGGATGCCTCATTGGTACTCGTGGTGGAAGAGGATCGCGTGCTGCAAGTGCAGTTCTCCGAGGGACATTTTGGATACTCGTAGGTCTCTGCCAGAACCTCTCCTTCGGCGGCAGTTGAACCGAAGTGAACCGACTTCTTTTGACCAGCTGGATCAGCCTGCTCCACTTTGCTCAAGAAACTGGGAAGAGTTAAGGGACCCGGGGCGGAGATACTAGACCTGACTTCCTGTTTGTCATTATCGCAGTCACTGGAGTCCAAGTCGTTGTGCATATTGGGCTTACTGAAGGACACTCTGCCCGGAAGATCTGGCTTGGCGGTGCGCTGGAGGAGAGCCCCATTGCTGAGGCCCTGGGTTCCGGAGTAGGAGGAGTAGGATTTGCCCTTTTCACCAGCTGACATGGTGACCAGGAACTGCTCCCCCTCCTCGCTGCTGTCGGGGGTGCGCTTCTGGAGCGAGTAGTCAGACTCGGAGGAGTTGCAGGTGCTGCGGCAGAGCCAGCTGCGCTTGATGGGTTCCTCCAGGAGGGATTTCAGCAGGTCGTTGGAGGATACCTGCCGCTGGAAGAGGATGTTACAACACAGATATCCCAGGGGAGTGGCTTGCTTACCTTGGCGCTGTTTCTCAGCTCCTTGTCGCTGAAAAAGGTGCTCAGTCGACGACCGAACTTGGGGTCCGCGGACTGAGGTCTTCCCAGGAAGGGCGAGGAGCGACTGCGCTGTTGGATGAAGTTGGCCGAACGAGGCCGGAAATGCGGACACGGACTGTGAAGAGTCGTCAGCGAACGACTGGTGTACTTGGGCTTCGTTTTCTGTCGTGTGGCGAGGTTTATCTGCGACCCAAATACCAGATAATCCCCTGGGGGTTGCGATATAAAGTCATAGAACCTACCTGCGAGCCCTTAAGACATAAATCCATAATAGCTTAAAGTTAGGCACTCATCTAGATAGTTTTTGGAAGCGACTGCCCTGCCATAGCCTACTGGTTTTCAAACAGGACTAACTCACTTTAGTTTGTTTTGGCCAACGCGGAAAACCGCCACCACAGGCATATCGATTAAACGCATGTGCTGGGCTAGCCATGAGGGTCAGGAGCAGTCAGATGTTGGTCAGCAATGCAACCCCCGAAAGGCAGGTGGGTTGACATGGTTACCTAACCACCTGACCCACCCTCGATCGCCAGGACAGGTGTCGCGTCTTCTTCCACATGACTCACTCCACTTCCACTCCCACTCCATTCAATTATTATTTTATAATATTCGTGTCAATCAATCACCGACTATCGCAAACCAGCGGAATCAAAGCAATTAATCACGGAGGGCAACTGATTGCGAGTGGAGCATATCGAAGCGAAGGTCACAGCACGGGGTTCAATGCTAGACACCGGCAAACACTTTCGGTTTTCATTCAATACCAAACACCACTCCCCGAACTCGTGGTCTTAGCATTCTTCGGGGTGGTATCTCCGCCGACTTATCAAGAACCACCCTGACTAATTGTAAACATATTTTAAATATCTCAAAAGAACGCAGACTAATTCCCCATGAATCAAATGTAGATATCGAGATAGCAAAACCCAATGCGCCATTAAGACCCTTCGAGTTCTAAGACAACACTCTCTATTGGTATGCCTCTGTATAAACAAAAATAGTGCTATCTTTGTGGAACAAGTTAAAGTACTCCAGGTGG